GCGTAGTATAAAATGTCTCATAATTTGCAGATAACCTTTGAAGTTTGTGCCAGTGCTTAAAAATTTGGTCACTTTTAACTATATATTTGAGAAAGGCGCAGAACGGTCCTCAGAAAGAAGACCTTACACTCCTCGTTTTCGTTTTAAGAATATACGTTGAAACTGTGTTTGTCCTCGCATCGCTTTAGACACTTTGATTGTGTAGCACCAAACATAAAATATTCAATCATGTTTGTCTAAGTTATGTATACACATCAATTTAACATGAAACATTGCAATGCATCTGCTAAATACCTAATGAATAGCAAACGTCAACATAATATAACCTTTAGAGATATAGGTTTTAGAATGTTTTACTTTATTGTCGATACGCAAATGACTCATGAATACTAACGTGTTTTATGTCTTTTTAAATTAAACGTACAAAGTTAATATATAAAATTATTAAAGATATTAAGACATATTTATCAAAGATATTGGGATATATTTTTTAAGATATTTGGAAACTTTATTGCCCTTACTTTAGGATTACATTATTCTGCGTCGTAAGGACGTCTTATAAGTATTATAAATTTCAGATTTACAAAGACCCAGATCCGAAACAACTATCAGTGTGTCGCACAAATTGTTGTCCCTTTTGGGAAACGAACCCACAAACCCCGACGCCGAAGCCATTAAAGTGTGGTCCAAAGCTATAGTGGGTTCTAATAAAGTTTCTTATTACAAATACTTAATACAATTTTTATATTGAAAAATAGTTTCTCTAAATTCTAGAATGTTTTTAATGATCGGAAATTACCGGTTGATATTATCATAATTATGGAAGAACTTAAACTTCTCATAATTGTTTCTACAAATGTAAGACTTTTTCTTGTCCAAGTCTTGGACACAAAAGATCCGTCCGTATTCTTACAGTAATTAATCAAGGATTTTGTTACATTGATAAATGAAGATTCACAATCAAGAATTGGTCTCAGCACAGAGAATTAACCCACTTTGACAATCGGCAATAGAAAGCGTGAAATGAGCGTGATGACTAATCGCAATAGAATTAACAATAAATCAATTAAATCACATTGAAATTTATATACTGAATAGTAATTATAATTTAGTACCAAGCATGGTGACTGGTTCGTTGTTTGATAAGTCTTAATAGCTAAAGTAAACTCTTGGGCAATGCAAAATTATCAAAAGTGTAATTATGGTAGGGCCCTGCAGAAGATTGATTGAATGTTATTTATGAATAAAAGCTACTAAACTACTAGGTAAAGAATCAACCATAATAATTTAATACATTCATTGGAGACACATGTATTATGACTATGGAAAATTCATGGTAAAACTTTAATAAATTGCTGATAGTTTAAATTATTGATAAGTATGTGATAACAGTGATTTTTATTTTGTTCTATTTAAAAATTAAGAAATCCTTCATCATTAATGTAATTATAAAGGATGGTGACCAATAATTGTTGAATCCACACTATATAAACAGTACTTGGGTGAAATAAAAAGAATATATTTACTGCTCATACAATAAATATTTAAATACCAATACATATTGATCAGAATATTTTCAAGATTATTAATGACTTAATATTTTTATTTTTATTCATAAAGTGAATGTAGCTCCACTGCTAATTAACCTAAGTAAATGCATAATTATTGACAACATTTAGACATAACTGTTGCCAGTAATTAAAGGTAATTGATAATGTCTTTTAGACAACATAGTTATGCAAGTTTTAAGTCAAACATAAGAAAATGATAAAATTAATTTTGCTTTTTTTAGAATTTACAATGTGATTTTTTTTTCTTTATGTGAAAAGCCATCTGCTACACCCGAGGGTTTGCAGATGCGTTGACAACCTTTTTGGAAATTGGGCTCCCACTACCTCACTCACCAGACAAACGCAAAAGTATTTATCATACTTCCACTTTACGCTTGTGAGGTTGTGGTACTTACCCAGACGAGCCTGCCCATTCGTACAACAGCCGAGCCTGCTGCGTGGCTCAACCACTGTTAAATATATTATGCTATCATCTATCTGGTCCTATAAAGCATATAAAGTTTTACTCACTTTTTGTAGACTCGGCAAAACGAATTATTGATTCTCTTGTCCGACAGATGTCTGCGTCTATCTTCAAACAAATCCTTAATAGCTGTTACACCGAGCACAAACAACACTGGAAGCATTGCCACTTCTTTACCAAAAGCGTTTATGGCTGGCACCCAGTTCAAAAGAACTATGAATATAAAGTACACATTTGCAATTCTATGGAATTGTTCAAATAGATTTTTCGGTATAAAGGAAAGCAGTGTGTACTTTGTAGTTCGAATCTTATTGTCACATCTGTGTCCATTTGGGTGGTCTTTGGGTGGAGTTTTCTCTGGAACCAAATGGTTTGGAGTGACCGTAAGATGCCTGTTATCGACAGCGGGCTGCTGGCGACGCATCAACCAGAATACAGCGCGACGCCATGGAGCAACTACAGAATCACGTCGAATTGTGTAAATGGAATCTGATCGAGATGCTTGCCGAGAATGATGTGCCCGAAGGGAATTTAATCGAGGTTGCGCACTTACAGGTGCAGGCTCGCGGTGTCCAGGCGGCAATATAAAATCAGTGCGACTACCGGTTCGGCTATGACCGGAAGTCGGCGCCGAGCGGCCTTCTCCTATTTGGCCATGGGACAATGCTCTCTGGTGTCCACGTAAAGCAGACTTTAGAGGCGGCCGTGATGCTGCAAGGCTGGCACCGAGTGTTGGTGTGCCACCATGACTCACGGATCTGGAGTGTCCCTTTGCTTTTGGAAATAAATATGTTTGCTCTGGTGCCCCCGGCAAACTTGGTACCGTCGAAGGTGTCTCTCCGCTTCCTTCTGTTGACATTTTTTTTCATCTGAAGGACAACTGAGTTTCTATCTGCTCTCATTTAAGACCGTGGATTCTTTTGACACCCTTTCGAATGTTTAGTTCCGTTATTTGCTCAATGAGAATGTGTCGTTAAATTTTAAGCATATGGATCCAAATTATCTATGCACACTCTTTCAAACATCACTGATGTCGTTATTTAGTAAAACACGAGCACAATAAATTTAGAATCAAATTTACCATATAACATTTTATAGCCATGATGTTTTGAAAATAAAACAATATTGCTGTCACGGGGAACAGACGTGTAAAGTACGAACAAGACGGAACTAAACTTAAAAACAAGTCTGACTGCTTGCCTTACGGACTGACACTGACAATGACAATCTACCTCATTGGCGCTGCACTAGAGATGCTCTGTGGCTGTTTTCTATAGTTGTAACAGTCCGTATTATTCGTTACCGAGTAACGGGTACGTCGAATGACTCGAAAGAGCCTAAAAGAATTTTATGAATTAATTTCGCTACTCACGTATTACGTAAGTCATTTTATGTATCGTAAGTTGTAGATTTCAATTCATTTTCAAATATTTTTATTTAACATAGGACCTATTCAACATTACACTCACTTATTGATAATCAAAATACTACTGAAAAGAACCAGTGAAAGAACCAAAAGTTTTACATTGTGTGACATGAATATATTAAATACAATATAAAAAGTCTTTCAATCGGACTTTTTAGCACGGAGCGATCAATTCATTACCAGTTTTTTTTTTTTTTTTTCAACGGTAAATTGTTTTGAAAGAGTATTGTTTACATCGTCAAATTTATAGAATATCGATTCACTTTAAAAATTAAAGAAGTATTGTCAGCAAACAATACTATCTCATGATTATTGTCAATACACATATTTGTCAGATTGATTTAATATACGAAATACGAACGGAATACGGACACAACGTTTAATACTTCATGTGCCTGGAACGGATTATAGAACGCTTCACACAACTCTTTAATGAATGTGAGTGCGAGTGATTCACTGAAGATGAACAACATTTTATACGTGCACGGTATGGCCACGTTAATGTGAAACAACGAATACTGTTGCGTGGAGGTTAGTGATTTTGATAACAACTCTTTATATTAACTTAGTATTTTGATTATGTTCTAAGGCTATACTTATTAACTACAAACTGAAAATTAGTAACTTCGTATTTCTGCTTTGATTATAATATAAAAATAAACACTAACAATTTACTTATTCAACTAATGTAGACAATGAATTATGAAAAGTTTAATTTTGAATTATTTTGAAAATTTACATACTAACTTGAAGGAAAATATTATTTAAAAATATTGTTAAAAATATTCTTTGTGAATTATTTTTAAAAGAATAAAAAAAATAAGTCGAGAAAATAGGAAAAACATGTTAATGGAGCATAGAGATAGATAGATTATTAAAAACTGGTCAAGTGCGAGCCGGATTCGCACACGAAAGGTTCCGTACTACCGTAATATCATTTATAACGGAAAAAAAAAGTCATGTTTGTTCTAGGGGAGCCCAACAGTAAAAAAAAAAATACAAATTATCGTCTCTCGTTACTTTAAAGATTGCCTTGACTTTCCAATATTTTCTAATGCCTTTAATTATAATCTCAGACTTTTGCATTCAATTTATGTATTATTTAGTTATTTAAAAAAAAGCTGTTTCTTTTTCATCAAAATTAATTGAACGATCTTTAATAGATTAAAATTATTAAGAGAATAATTATTATGGAAGAATTGAATAATAATTTTCTAATAATTATATTAAAAGTTATCAAAAATCAGTTAAAATCTTGGTGTATAATTAATAGAATAAATAGTAAACATCTGTGGATCGTATAAGAAATTTTTAATTTCTGTTTCTGTTCTGTTTTATCTCTCATATTATGTGTACCTATATTTTTGGAAGAAGGTTGGTTAGGTTGATAGGTTGGTATAATTTAAAGTCGTCGACGTCATCGGTAGCCGACATATTTGCTCTCAGACATAGTTCCGATCCGACATTTTGACATTTATTCCCCGGTATCTGATAGTCTCAGTTCTTGTTACAATTTTATTAAATATCCTGATTTATCATAATGGATGAAGAATATGATGCGATTGTCTTGGGCACAGGGCTTAAAGAATGCATCCTTAGTGGTATGCTTTCTGTGTCCGGAAAAAAGGTATTACACATTGATCGTAATAAGTATTACGGTGGCGAATCGGCATCAATTACTCCGTTAGAGGAATTGTTCGCGAAGTTCAATGCACCAGCTCCGGATGAAACATACGGTCGAGGACGTGATTGGAACGTGGATTTGATCCCGAAATTTTTGATGGCGAATGGTCTCTTAGTAAAACTGCTTATACATACGGGCGTAACCAGGTATTTGGAATTTAAGTCTGTTGAAGGAAGTTACGTTTATAAAGGAGGAAAAATTTCGAAAGTGCCCGTAGATCAGAAGGAAGCTTTGGCGTCCGATTTAATGGGGATGTTCGAAAAGAGACGATTCCGTAACTTCCTCATATACGTTCAAGATTTTCAAGAAGAAGATGCGAAAACTTGGAAAGATTTTGATCCCAGTACAGCAAATATGCAGTCACTGTATGATAAGTTTGGTCTTGATAAAAACACTCAAGACTTTACTGGCCATGCCCTAGCACTTTACCTAGATGATAGCTACCTGCAGCAGCCAGCTATTCAAACAATTCGTCGCATTAAGTTATACTCTGATTCCCTCGCTAGATATGGTAAGTCACCATATTTGTATCCCATGTATGGGCTTGGCGAGCTGCCGCAAGGTTTTGCTCGGCTTTCAGCAATTTATGGCGGAACTTACATGTTAGACAAGCCAATTGATGAGATTGTCCTAGGGGAGGGAGGTAAAGTTGTTGGTGTGCGCTCAGGAAATGAAATAGCTAAATGTAAACAGGTGTATTGTGATCCCAGTTATGTTCCTGACAGAGTTCGCAAGAAGGGTCAAGTAATCCGCTGCATTTGCCTATTAGACCATCCTATTGTTAATACTAAGGATGCTTTATCTACTCAGATAATTATCCCACAAAAGCAGGTGGGAAGGAACTCTGATATTTATGTTTCCCTGGTATCATACACTCATCAAGTTGCTGCCAAAGGATGGTTTATTGCCATGGTATCTACTACAGTAGAAACAAATGATCCAGAATCTGAGATCAAACCTGGTTTGGACTTGTTGGGTCCTATAAGGCAGAAGTTTGTTTCTGTGTCTGATTACTTTGAGCCTATTGATGATGGTAGCCAAAGCCAAATCTTTATATCTGAATCTTATGATGCAACCACTCACTTTGAAACAACATGCTTAGATGTGTTAAAGATCTACAAGAGGGGTACTGATGAAGATTTTGACTTCTCCAAAGTAAAAGTAGAGTTGGGAGAAGAGGAGCAATGAATTCTAACATTCTAACTTATGTATATTTGCTTGTTAATTTTATCATTTGTTTATATCTGGCTACAATAAGAATTTTATTAGGGTTCTTGGGCTAAACAGCATATAGGATGTATTAATGAAAATCATATAAATGTATTTCATCCATTTGCAGCAAGTGTTTTTGATTCTACCAAAACATATTTAAAATATATAAGAATGTTATTTATAGGATTTTATTCAATTAAGATTGCTTATATAATTTAAGATAAACAAGGCATAAGATTGATCTGCACAAGTGGTAGAAACATCAAAAATGCATTCCATTTTGATACATTATTTGATCCTGTATCCATATCATATTAATAATATGTCAACTTATTGAATGCTCACTTTACACCTTAATGTTCATGTAAGATCATTAATAAAGTTACATTATAACATCATGCTGTTTTATTTTATAATAATGCATGATAATCTTATTAAAAGAAGATGATAATTGATTTATTTGCACCCAAAGAAAATTTCATGTAAAGAAATATATATGTATATAGAATTCTGTAAATAGTTGAATAGTTTGTGTCAAAATATCTGAAAAAAATTATGTAGCTATCAAAATAAATAAATTGTTTGTTACTAAAATAGGGTTTTTAATGGAAAATATGCATAAAAAGAATAAACATCCAATTGCTATTTATGATACTTTTAATATTCAACTATTTTAATTATATTATACATAATAAATTGAAGTCACAAAATAATAGTTTTGTTTTTAATCTTTTAAACAGACATATTTGTGTTTAATGTTCGATATTCACTGAATATTTTATGCAATATATGTAGTCATTTCGGCAACCAATAAATATTTTGTCATCATAAACAACTGGAGATGAAAAGGTTTCATTTGGAAATTGATACTCTGATAATATACTTCCATTCTCTGAATTAATTACAAACATTTTTCCATTTGTAGAAGTTGAAATAAGCAATTTATTGTTTAAACAACAAGGTGTAGCATAAACTGGTGATGTTGATTCTGTTTTCCAATGTGTTAAAGGGTGAAAGTTTTTGACAGTAAAACTGTACACTGCACTGTCATGGCACCCAAATACAAATTGCCACTTTAATGATTCCAATTTTTTTATATATATTGAAGAAAAGATATTCCCGTTAGCTCCTTGATATTTCCAGACCTAAATCAGAAAAATGTATTAAATAGGAAAGTTCAAATTTTTTAAATAGAAAGCTTTTCAATGCTTTAATCCTTAGTCATGAGCTTTTTATTTACGGTTTAGGTAGTTCACAAGTCTAGAAAATTATCTTGTTGATGCTTCCAGCAAAATTGTGTTTCAGTGCTAGGCACCGACATTGAGGCTTTTGAATCTCCTTTATTGTAGCAATTTTTACTATTTGTTGCATGAATGGGCAGGGGATTATAGAGACCGGCGTAAAGTGGAGGTGTTATACTTCTGTGTTTCGTCTGGCGAGTGAGGTAGCTGGAGTCCACTTTATTAAAAGGTGGCAGTGCATCTGCAACCCTAAGGGGATTACAGAAGTCCATAGGCGGTAGTTACCATGTATTAGGTGAACTGTTAACTTGCTTGCGGTCTCATAAAGAAAATAATATTATGTGCTCAAAATATGCAATTTTAACTTTGTGTGTAATGTCTCTAAAAGTTGATATGATAACAACTAAAACTATTTCAATTTTCAACAAAGAATTAGGTGTGGATAAGAATTTGATTCATTGTGTAAAATGTTAATTATGTGTGTAGTTTTTATATGTAAATAGTAATTACAAAGAATAATTTGGAAAAGATTCGGTATACCAAGTACAGCAAGTGTAGACTGCAATAATTTGTATTACCTTGATGCCTGTTTCAACGATTCGGCAATGTATTTCACCACTGACCTCGGCGAATACGACGTATTTTTCATCGTCGTACAACACGGGTCTAGCAAAAACTGGACTATTAACTTTTCCGTACCATGCTATTTTTTTTGTCCTTGTATCTAAACTGGCACAAATGCCAGATAGTGTACCAACCATTATAAAACCACTATTAGTAAGTACTATATCTGCTGATATTGCTTGTTCTGCTACTTGTATTGTTTTCTTAATATCCCCATTCTAAAAATTGAGAAATGCATTAATGTTAATTTGTTAAATAAAACGTTTGTTACGAAAATCTGGGCGACGGATAAAGAGTTACGAGTGATCTTAGAATATTTCCATTTTTTATAGGCTGATAAGTTGATGATATCATGAAATAATAAAAAAAGCTTTTTTCATACTATTAAAATAGGTTTGAAGCTCTACCATTTAAATTTTAACATTTTCTATAACTACGTATGTTTTTATAACTTCATGTAATTGTAAATAACTAATTCCACACATTAATATGTGGTTCAGGTAGTCTCTCTTCACTTCCTTCTTAAAAATCAATCCAATTTTTTACTGTGTTATCCTGAATATTATCTTCACAAATGCATAAGAACCTTATCTTATGTAAATAATCAGAATCATTTTACATAAAACAGCCTTACCCTGACATCAATACAGCGGACAGCTCCATCATATGATGCAATATAGATAAAGCCATTACTATATGTTGCTTTGCTCTTTATCATGTATCTTATATTTATTCTCCAAAGCTCTTCACAATTTGCCAAAGTAAAACAAACTATAGTGCCATCATAAGAGCCCACTATACCACATTGATCTCTAAGTCCACAGTCATAGCAGTAGATGGAGGCCTCAATTCGAGAATTTAGCTTTATTGCTCCTTGTAAAACTCCAGTAATTGCATCAATTACAACAATTTTTCCAGAATGACTACTTACAGCCACAAACATTTTCCTGCAATTTAATATATGTACAGTGTATATATTACTTTTAATCATGCTACAACTTCCTTACCATCCACTACTCAAATTGATTGATATTACTAGCCCAGCTGCTGAAATGTTTATGTACTTGTATTGTGTAAATTTTTTTACTAGAAACACTAGAAAAATAATCTTGTACTGTGAGAAACATTTGTGTGTTTGAATTCACATGTTGTGAATTCTTCAAAAATCTTAAGTGCAGAGACTAGTGTTAAAAATAAAATTTATTTCTTAAATTTACATTACATATTTTTGCTACTATTTGATTTAAAGATTTGCTTATGTTTACAGAAACAAACATTTAAGTCAAATTTTGGAAGTAAATGTTATTTGTGTAAAAAATAGCTCATTGTTTTCAAATATTCCTAAATAGCTGTTTATACTAGTCACTTACATTTTTCCTGCACATAATGTGGGAGAAGCATCTACACATTTACCAGTATCAAATTTCCATATTTCTTCAAATACTATATGGATTTCAGATTTTTCTTGTACTTCACTAATACTTTCAATGTTTGCTAATCTTTTTGCTTTGGTGCCAGGCCTTTTTGACCGTTTATTTGATTTTGATTCATCATAAGAATAATATTTTCGTATTAACAAAATAATATCTTGAATAGTTTTATTATTTGATATCAAATTAGGTAATATTAAACTTCCTAATTGAGGATATATATAAGAAAGTTTATTACACATAGTAATAGCAAGAAATGATGTGCCACCAATTGATGCAAATGTTTTATCTTTGATTTCTTCTAGTTTCAAATTCTTCAACATTGCAAGTTCTTCTATAAAAGCAATACAGGGTGATATTATTTGTTGTTTAAGGGATTCATTCTCAAACATTTCAGATAGAAGAAGCTTTGAGGTCTTGCCATGACAATTTGTTGGTAAATTGTTGACCTTGATAAATCTGTCAGGCCAATGTTTTTCTTCCAATTTACTTTTTATAACTTCGGAAAGTTCATGACTACTTAATGTCTCTGATGAGAAATACAAGACTAGAAGCATTAATTTAGGCAACCAAATACAAGAGCAAGTTTTCACTTCCAAGCACTCCATTACAGTATTTTCTATAAATTGAAGATTGACTTTATTGCCAAATCTCTTGATAGTATCATCTTTACGACCTCTGTAAAAGATAGTGCCATTATTTACCTCTCCAATATCTCCAGTGTCAACAAACTTCAAAGCACATTCTTCTCCATTTGTACCAGATTTGTTTAAAATGTAACATTTTCTTGTATTGCTCACTGAAATAACAAATTAGTAATTTTAGTAATATATTGACTTCAGCATTACTAAAATTTAGGCTGGTCACCAGATAATTCGAGGAGTCAGAGAGAAGCTCTTTATTGACACTCACAAGCAAGCAAAAACGACTAAAATATGCATCTTTCACTAAAATTTAACTAATAAGGATGGAAACACAAAGTGGCTAGAGCAGAAAAGGTGGAGGGAAGGCCAATGAGTCTGGCATTGGCTATCATTATATGCAGTGCAGATCCACACACAAACTGAGAGTTTCTCCCATAGTTTGTCTTTCCTCAAAACAGTTACTTTTGAAGTTGTCATTTGGGCCATATAAAAGAAAAGAAGATGAAGATAAATATTGAGAAAAAGAAAATATAATTTAGCTCTTTACCTAGTATTATTTTGCCAGTGTGATCAGTTGATTTCCCTGTATCAATATTTATTTCAGTTTCTGAGAGACAGCTACCCAATGGTACTTCACGGTCAGTGGCAATTTTGTTTAAATCTAACTCAGCCACACATGCCCAACAAGACATTTCTGTTACTCCATATAGTGTAAATAATCTGGTCTTATTGTTCATATGCTTTAGTTCTCTTAACCTTTTGATGCCATTTAATGGTTCACCACCAAGTGCTAATATTTTTAATAATGAGTTAGAGCATAAAATTTTATTCTTAATATCATTGTTTGTGAATTTAAAAAATTTTGAAGGTGTAGTTTGCCATACTGTTATATGATGTTTTTGGTTTTTAGGAAATAAAATATTACAGTCTTCAGGTGCAATTAACAGTGATGCACCATTTTTAAATGCTAATAAAATTTCAATCATAGAGGGATCAAAAGTAAGAGGTGTAGAAAAGTATATAATATCATCAGAATTTATAATAAACAGTTGTGAAAGGTCATCAATATTTGGTAGAATGCATTGGGCTGGAACTTGTATATGCTTTTTTTCTCCTGTGCTTCCAGAAGTTGTAGCAATAAAGGAACATTCTGTTACTATTTTTTTTAATTTTAAATTACAATGACTATCACATTTGTAAAATTCAATAGAGTAATTGAAAACAGTTATTGTTTTATCTGGCCTTTTCTCAGATAATTTTGAATATGATATACTATTGCCATCTTGAATTGAAATAATTATTTTGAATCTTATATCATGTACTAAAGATGTTTCTAAATCTTGTGTCGGATCTATAAACATGAATGTATTACTACCTTTGTGGACCCTGAAAAAATATAACATTACATAAACCTTAATATTAACTAATTGTTAACATCATGTAATTACAATAGTAAATGCTTTATATCTAAGGCTATTTAGCTTAGAATAAGCAAAGATAATAGCAAATACATGGGAAATGTGTTATTGTGAGATTGTAAAATAATTATTCTTTTCTTTATATCATAATTGTTTTAAAAATTGTATATATACACTATTTGTGATATATTAAATATTATATTACATTTGAGTGTGATAGATAACTTAGATAATTTTTATTATTAACCAGCTGTTAATCGCGGCTACGCCTGCGCGGCCAAAGGGATTTAACAATGAGTTTTTATTTTACACCAGAATATCTCACAGATGGCTGAATTTTTTCCTACTTAGTTGACACTTATCATTACTAATATTTTGGACAATTCACACAATATCTTTATAAATAATAGCCTATGTGTTTAATTCTGATGTATAAGCTATATTATTATAGTTTCACTTAAATTCATTCAGTAGTTTTTGCGTGAAAGAGTAACAAATATTCATAAATACATACATATTTTCATGTTTATAATATTAGTAAGGACTTACGCAGCTATTGCACAGGGTACAATTACATTTCTGTCTGTAATTAATCCAATAATATCTTTGTAACATTTCAATTGTAGAAGGGTCTGTGAAATATATTCACAAATCCCATACAATTCTGAGTAAGTGTAAATATAATACTTTCCGTCATAGTATTGAAGTATCGCCTTTTTTGTAGGATTTATTGCGCAGGTTTTAATAAAAATATCATAAAAACCACGTTTTGATTTCATTCGGAAAATATAGGGTGTATTATAGAACGCAATGTTTTTATTATAGGTTATTGCATATTTATCAATAGTACTTGAATAGTTTTTAACAAATTGCGAATAATTTAAATCTTAATGTTATGATAAGAAAAATATGTAATTTTTCTTTATTGTATGATGTACAACTGAATCAACTGATGTAAACCTAAACAATATTATGATAGCTACTTTTCGACATTTGAAGTATGCCACTTCCAATAATCAGCTGTCAATAAGACAACTGACACTGACAACTGACATGACATTTAATAAAATTGCCAGTAATGGAGATAACTAAAAGCACGATTATAAAATAAATAAATAATCCAAGCTAATTTTTATTTCATTCTATTTCTAATCAAACTTTCACGATGAAATAAAATATATAAATTATTAGTAATTACCTTATAATTTTACTTAATTAGGACTGTGTACTAAAATAGTTTGTTTTCAATTTTTAAAAGTTGTTTGTTTTTGTCCCCGCACATCAAATTTTTTTAAAAGTTTATGTCCTAGGCTTAACGCCGCGGCTGGTGACAAGAGAGCTGGTTCTTTTCTCGCGCAAAGGTTAAGCATAACTATTCAGCGAGGAAATGCAGCTAGCGTTCTTGGCACCATGCCGCGTGGATTAGGTTTATTAGATAATATGTAATTTTAGATAGATTTAATCTTGTAAATATTAGATCAATAAAGATTCTTTTCAAAAATTTTTAACTTTTCTTACAATATTTAAAAAACCACAGTCTAGATTTTCTCATAATTTAGATAATAAGTTAATATGTAGGTTAATGTAATAATAGGTACATATAAATTTAATCTTGTAAATAATAGGTAAATAAATGTATAATATTTTAAAAAAAGTAATAGGTATTGTAAAGATTCATATCATAATAAAGTTTTTTTTTTGGTAACATCATAGTCATAAACATTACAACACATCAAAACACAACAAAAAAATTTTAGATGCTAAGTAGGAAGGATCAATATTATTATATAAAATAGTATTTCTTACAATGTACTTAAAATTAATAAGGAAATTCTTATTTAGAAATGAAATCAGAGATTTGACAATGAGAAACGTCATATACATGAGTTCAACGTCAGGTCAATGTTATGGAATTTATAACAACGTATTACATAACCTTTAATTTTTATGTATATATTTAGAAACCCACATAATTATACAAGTATTCTTACATTTATTCTGGCTTGACATGAAATCTATATCTTATGAAAATGAAATTCTGACTTAACATTCCTAATTTTCATTCATGTTTCCTTTCGTCACTTTTAATTAATGTATCCTACATTAATTATTCTAAAAGTTCTAAATCTTAGTAGAAAGTCAATAGGAAGTTATTCCCAAGCTTCAGATAAAATTTAAGGAAGATGTTTGATAAAATATTGCGCAGAGCCTCTGCGGCGGTGTTGACCTAAAACTTATTCGGCAAATGAACGGGCCCAATCAATTAGGGGCGGTCAGCGATCCGCCAGAAAACGGGGCAGCGCGCGCGCTCTCCAAGGAAACTCGGAAACCGTTGGCCGGAGGCCTCGATTTAGTGAAGTGACATAAGTTATAGCTAATGAAATAACGGTTATGTTATCGAATTATGAATGTTTTTAGAATATTTTGAATTACAGTTACAATGAAATGAATTTTTCTGCAAAAATTAAGTATAATTTAAAATAATCCTTATAAATATCCTGATGTTAAAACCAGAAAAAGAATTGTACTCGTATTCAAATTTTCCTATTATGTGTAATTTATATTAAGGTGTGAGCTGTACAATATTAACGCTATAAAAATAATTATTGTGTAAATAGTAGGATTTCGAATCAGAGAGTGTTAATAATCATAGTAAAAAAGTTTTTTAGAGTATAAATAGTTAAGAAAACGCTATAAAAATAGCCGAGCTACTACATAGCTATTAGAAGCGAACGGTTGCGCAAACCACCACTAGTTTGGAGGGTGCGTGCGGCTCAACATCGATCGTGTGGGGCGGCGCATACAGTGTTCAGTCCGCCGGGGCGGCCGGCGAAAGCGCGCGTGTGATGCGCTGCCGCTGAGATGGCCGGCGCTCGGGCGCTCGTAGCCGCCTGCTGCTGCTGGTGGTGGCTGGCGAAAGCCGCCGGTAAGTACGACCGCTTACCTATATAAATAATTTTTAAAATAAAAAATAACCCGTGCCGGATCAGCTGATCCCCTTGACTTACAAGCTGAAGAACATTCACTCGTTGTCACAGCCTTAAGAAGTTCACTGCTTTCTCTTCCTTAGTTAAATAGGCAATCCTGCTTAGTTGTGACCGTAAATTTCAATATTAGGATTTAAGGTTTTTCGTAGACCCCAGTTTATCGACATCTACACTCAACTTTTAGGTTATATTATGTGTATTTTTCCGTTAGTGTTTCTCATGAGAACATTTTTATATTAAATGATTTCATTTATTCCGTTTTATGAAGTAATCCAATGCAAATCAAATTAAGATCATATAAATAAAAATTACAAAGTTATTTCGCAACGTGACATATTCGCGCCGAATCAAAAAACTGCAGTGTGATTCTTAATTAAGTCGAATCCCTAAAAAGCACTTAAAATTCACTTTGAAACTCCAGCCTTTTTTCGCGAAACTTATATAAGCGGCGAGGGCTTTTCGGGGTTACGAAAGCAAAATTGTTTTCCACAGAGTTGTGTAATTGCTCTCGATCGCAGACCTTGTTCTAGAGCGTAGTTTCTTATTTAGTATTTCTATCATTTAAATCAAAGTTTTCCGAATGCGGTAGATCCGGCGTTGTCACAGACCAGCCTTCTGCGTCCTTGCCTCGACCACTGCCAAGCAGACGTTGCTTGACATTACGTCATACGCCTAATCTGACACCACTGCGTAAATATTGATAATTATCACGCCACTTTGTCGCGAGGAAGTTAGATAAATGCAAGCGTGCATCTTAACACCTGCCCACGAGACAATCTCCGTCCAAATTCGGTCATCTTTGGACTACAATGCTGATCTTGAACCTCTTTTTTAACTCTCTGTATTTCCTTCTCCTTCGCATGTTCTTATACTTTACACACACTTAATTTTCATTTATGTACACTTCGTAAAAAATGTTTTGTTCAATGTAGTTTTTGTATGTACCTATCTATTTTGTTCATATTTTCTTGCATTGGTTTAATTTAAGTATAAATATTTATTACGTTTTGGATATACAATTTTGTGATTGATATAGGCAATTGCTGGATATATGATTATTACTGCTTCTAAGTAAAAAGGAAGAAATAGGATTTTCACTAAGCATCATTATAGTTATTGATCTCTTTCAAAAGACATCAACGCGCGTTTGTAAAATAGAGGTCTAAATTGGGGTCCGTGATAAACTTGTACTCGTAACTTAATATGAGAATTATTACCCGTTTTATAAAAAAAATTGCGTAGCATGGAATACTAAATAACAATGTAAAAGAAATCTGTGTACTACGTGGTATACTATATAGACATAAGATGATATCGTGGGTTCTGTTAAAAGCAAATCAAAACTTATTATCATTGTATTACTATAAGATATAAGTGCCTCAGTCAGAAATGTTAAACACAAATTATTGGTTACCACATAAAAAGCATTGAATTACAGCGCACCCCATTTTCGTCAAACGTTATCGCAATACTTCGAATTTCATTGCAATTATCGTTAAAAACCTGAAGGAAGAAAAACTTACACACGAACATTAAAATAAAAGTAAAGTAAAACTAACAGCCTATACATGTCCCACTGCTGGGCAAAGACCTCCTCTATACAGAGGGTATCAGGGCATAGTGCACCACGCGGCCCCACTGCGGATTGGCGGACTTCACATATCTTCGAAATATATATTTTTTTGTTATTATTTCGAAAATATGCAGGTTTCCTCACGATGTTTTCCTTCACCGCGGAGCACGTGATAATTCAGCACTTAAAGTTAAAAACTTCATTGGTGCCGGCACCTAGGATCGAACTCAGGTTGCTCGAGTATATTGAATTAAAGGCGAGGGCCCGGACACTGAGCTACCACGGCTCAACATTAAAATACCTAGCATTAATTGGTGCCATGACAGAAATTGGTGAAAACATGAACGCTATCTTCACAAAGTAATTAAGAAAATTGATAAATTGGTAACTCTACTAGTTACACTAATTTAGCTCAATTCTAAAAAAATAGATAACGTAATTGAAACTAGAAAACACCAACGTTAGAACATACTATATATGAAATGATAAAACTTTTTGATATATTTTTTGATAATGATAAATTTTCAATTTGAGCTTCCGATATTTTCTGATTATTATTTGTTATATATACTCACAGACTACTTTTACTCACAGATACTAACAAATAATATATATATTTTTGTTAGTATCTGTGAGTAAAAGTAGACTGGAGATTCAGATAGCGATGCTAATACAATTACATTTAAATATGCAGAAATAATTAGATTTCTGAAGTGTAGCATAATGATATCCGGTGGACTTCAATAATCATTATATGTTAAAACAATTACACTAGATTATTCATTAAATGAATCTTACACAATCCCCATCTTCTGGTATTAAGAAATCAAAATACACAAATTGAAATGCAAAATCCGTTATATTATCATCATCGTCAAATAGATCGATCTTAAACAAATCCGAAAAGTAGATATCGAAAAAACGTTTTTATCAGTTACGGTGCAAAAATCAAACTAGAACACTGGAACGGATCGGTTAAACTTCCTGAAGCTATTTGTCAAAATGGTTGTTGACTTACAATCCTAATGATGTATTTATGACAACTAGCCATTTCGATTTGAAATTATAGGTATAAGTATAGGTACTAGGTGTGCGGGCTTGTTATTCGTATACGATTTATATGAAATCTAATTTGTTTGTTGCAAATTTTTCTATATAAATAAAAAAATTAGTAGCACTGTTCGAGTAAGGTACCCAGGAAAGTCTTTAAGATCTAATCATGGACTATTTATAAAAAATAAGACCATATTATATATTATTATCTTTAAATCTTCTTTTAATTATTGATCATTTTTCGAAAATGTCGATTATGTTACTTCACCTTCGTTCTACATAAATAATTATTAAAATTCGAGGCAGAGTCGTAGTTTTCGTAGACTTACGTAAGCTACGCTACTTAGTGCCGCATTGAATTTATCTCCTAGCCCCGACTTTAACACATTTGAATTTTTGTTCTATCATATTTTTTAAGTTTGTCAAATTTTGTATTGACAAATCTATTTCCGATGGTTTCAAACAAAATTTTTGTTCGTTCTATTACGAGTGATACATACACACGCACTTAAAAGATATCAATCGTAGGCATAATTCCTCTTTTGTGAACGTTAACTATCTGGGGCAAGTCCTAAGAAGCTTTATTGCTCAGAAAAGAATGTCTCATACAGTTTTCTCCAAAAAACTAAATAGCGTTATTACGGATACTTGGCAGACTAAACTTGTGTTTAAATCCGATCAATACTCGTTGTGACTTATTCGGTGACATCGTTTGCGACAAAATGAAACTTTTGATTTTACGAATATGAATAACATATCTCTAGTACATTTACATTTATTAGAATTTTTTTATGTTTTCATGTTAAAAACGTCTCAAAGCAATATTGCTGCGTTTCTTGTGAAGTGTACACACATTATTATTACAGAATCCAACGCAATTATCTTATCGTATGAATCTGTTTGAGGAGAATAATCCAATAGAAGATACCGAGATTTAGTTTGCTTTTAACAGGTCCTCGCACTGATATATATATCTGTATCGAATACAGTTAGAGTTCCTTTGGTTATTACTGTTTTCTTAAAATCATTGTTTAATTTTACTTTTTTACTAACAAAGTCAAGTTATGATTAGTATGTGTAATGAAATTAAATTATTAAAATGCAAGTATTATGTACATTAGTTAGTTCGCTAACTAATCCATTGACTGAAGTCATGTAAAATGTATTCCGGATGTTTTTATTTTTTATCTTTTTGTTGTTAATCCTTATTAATTTCGTGTCTAAACGAAAATCGACTAGGGTATTTAATATCTGAATTTATTTAAGCTGTGCACACATTATGTGAATTCATGTCAAATCATAAGGAAAAAATAAAATATTTATTTTGTATAAAATATGATTTTCTTTTGTATTATGGCTTTGGTAAACGTTGCACGGAAACAATGTATTCTACAACCGTTCTCAATACTGTCATCAAGATACATAGCATATAGCTTATTGTAGGTACCCTCAAATATTTTTCTCAGAACAAGGCGTGAGAACGTTAACCTTAGAAACAAATATAAATAATATAACGTCGCTCGGAGTATCCGCTGCAGTACTGTTGACAGAAGAAAACTTCTACTATTTATTTACTGGGACTATTATCGCCGAGAAAAACAGTTTGTAATAGAACAACCTAATAGACATTCGATCTTGCCGTAAAAAGGTCTAAAAGTAAATCCTAATGAAAATTCTTAGTTATATAAGGCTTAGATACCATATCTAGTAACTAGTAGAGTAAGAAGTAGAAAATTTATGGCTTGATTACTTATCTATTATTGATTTTTATCTATTATTGCTTTAAATAAGTCGCGATAATATCTGTAATAAAAAAAATCGTAAAAACATGATAATACATCTAACAGAAAATCAAGCTAGCAGTGTCATCTCTAAAAAATGGAGCTAAATGAAAACGTATGAAACGTTATATTAAAGTGCTTATCAAGCGCTTTCATTATGAAGGCCCGTTAAATCAATCAAATTAATATTCCTAATAGAATTAAATCGTGAATGATGCATAATTCGAAAAACGGTTCCAGTTAGCAGAGCTAAATAAAACAACATTGTGAAGAACACGAAGCATATCGCCAGGGCCATGGAAGCGCTTCCGCGACCCTGCCAATATTAGCCGCGTCAGCAGCCCCTCCTTGTGGAGCGAGCCCCTCTAGGTAAGGTGCGCAAGAACATAAGCGTGTCTTCCCACTGCCCTTATCTCAGGTCCCTAGGTTGGCACAAAATGTAAATCATGTTACTAGTGGTATTGGCCAGGTTTATAAAACCGGCCGACTGCCTGACGCCAGCCCACCTTCGGAAAGCACAGATCCAAAACAACTATCTGTGGAACACACAAATACTTTTCCCGTATGCGAATGGAACCTACCGATCGCAGCGCCTAGAGTTGTTAGTCCCTTTTTATGGTTTACGTAATTTTGTATGGTTTACGTAAATCTGCTTCTTGCTGTCTTCTGTGAAACCTACCGCACCAAAGAAATTAGTTCCTTGTATGTACGTAGTAGATTGACAGAAAATAGAAAAAAGATTTTAAAATGAATTTGAAGTGTAAACTAAATGTAAATGATTAAGGCATTATATCGTTCATGTAACAATTACTTACAATTGAAGAATAGACATGCTTCAATATTTAGTTGAAGCTGAGGAAAGCTGAGAAAGAGTTAAAGAAACATTCGTAGACAAAATAAAAACATAGTATTATGATCATGTTGTTGTCTTACACAATCAATTTAAAACATTGAAAAAAACTTCGGAGAAGAATAAGTATTTATTCCTTATTTCTTGTATTGTACTAATAGCTATTGGAATAATTTGAATAATGTTTAAATATTTATTCAAAGTAGGTGAGAATACATCCAATGAAGTAAAGCAATTTGTTAAATCTTTCTTTAAAATTAACTGTAGTTTGTGTAAATAAATATTGGGTAAATCGTAATTATGCGAAAGGTCCTGCGAGGAATCATCCAAATTATTATAATTATCATTCTTTCATAATATTATGACTATTATGATATTCATCTTAGACTTTTTTAAAATAAAT